AGTGCATAGACAGTGTGTGGGCAGGGGTAGGGAAAGAGGGAGAAAGATTAATTCCAGATAGACTCCTGGGGCTGGGTTGAGGAATGGATGGGAAGCCACTCACAAAGTCCAGCCTGGGGATGGAGAAACAAAACCTGGGGACCGCTCTTCTGACCTCACTGGCAGGCTCTGTAGACATCTCTCTATTTTCTCTTGATACTAAACAAGCACTTGTCTATGTGGACATGAGGCTCAGAAAAGACTGGAAAGGCATAAGAGACAAAGGCAAATCTGTTTGAAAACAAAGAAATAGTGTTTTGCCCGCATGTTAATATGCCATAGTTATTGATGTCATATATAATTACATATATAATCTAGACTGTCATTTTTCTCTAAAAAATATTTCATTTTTTTAAATATTCCACTGTACCTAAAAGTAGACCTAATAAGGTCTACACGTACATTTTTTTTTTATTATATGCTAAGGATCTCCAAGGAAATAAAGTAGGAGGGAATATGTAAAGTTTCATTTATACCAGGTCATTTTGCTTGTGTTTGAAAATAATTATATTTTTCTGTTCTTTCTTTAATAAAGGTTCCGATTTTATTTTTCATAAGACTATGCAAGTATGAGAAATCATGTGCCAAGGGTTATTTCAAAAGAAAGCAGGAATGGCAGGTAAACAACGTCAATCTGGAGTAGAAATATATTTAAGGTGTCTTTCATTAGATCTACAGGTTCAGAGAAGTTCTTGAATTAATGCATATTTCTGTAAAAGGGTAATGGTAAATTTTGAGTGTAGGTAGACACCTGCCATTTTAATACCTGCTGCTCTTTTTAGTTACTGCAAAACATGCGGAGTATTTGTATTGGTGCCAATTAATCAGCATTATTGTTATAATTTGATTAGCCAGCTACAGAGTTAGTAAAAGTCTTACAAGGGGCAGTGCCTCCAAAGCTTAAAATAAAATCTCCTGGGCTTGGAGAAATATATTTAGTTGCTTAAAAACCATAGCGCTGGGCTTTGTTCTAACTTCCTTCTGGACAGAGGGAGATATTAACGCATTCCACAAGGTGTTGTAACAAGAATGAAACAATCCTCGTAAAAAGCTTGCCGGGTGACCTGATGTCGGAAACGAACCCTGGCTACTGGCAGCATCCTTCCATCCAACATGATATGGACATTTAAATCATCCTATCTAGACTCCTATTTTCGTTTAAAACATCTATACCCCCCACCCCTATGCTACACACAGACACAGACAGACAGACAGACAGACAGACAAGCAGACACACACTGTGCCCTCCACCCTTTATAAGGAACGATTTGGACGATGACTTTTTCTTGCCATGGCCACTTTAATTATTCTCCTAATGGGTGCCCAGGCTGCACACCTTCTGAGCTAACCATTCCCTGTCTGAGGAAAACGCCACAGAAGTAATGGAGTCATGAAGCCAGCCGCCACCCACTCCCCAGCGAGCCTGCAGGTCCAGCCCTGACACAGCCCCGCACACACCCCGCTTCCTGCAGCCCTGACACAGCCTGCACACGCCACTTCCTGCAGCCCTGACACAGCCCGCACAGACCCCGCTTCCTGCAGGCCTGACACAGCCCCCACACACCCCGCTTCCTGCAGGCCTGACACAGCCCGCACACGCCCGCTTCCTGCAGCCCTGACACAGCCCGCACACACCCCGCTTCCTGCAGCCCTGACACAGCGCGCACAGACCCCGCTTCCTGCAGCCCTGACACAGCCCCGCACACACTCCGCTTCCTGCAGCCCTGACACAGCCCTGACACAGCCCGCACACACCCCGCTTCCTGCAGGCCTGACACAGCCCCCACACACCCCGCTTCCTGCAGCCCTGACACAGCCCGCACACACCCTGCTTCCTGCAGCCCTGACACAGCCCGCACACAGACCCGCTTCCTGCAGGCCTGACACAGCCCGCACAGACCCCGCTTCCTGCAGCCCTGACACAGCCCCTGACACAGCCCGCACACACTCCACTTCCTGCAGCCCTGACACAGCCCCTGACACAGCCCGCACAGACCCCGCTTCCTGCAGCCCTGACACAGCCCCCACACACCCCACTTCCTGCAGGCCTGACACAGCCCGCACACACCCCGCTTCCTGCAGGCCTGACACAGCCCGCACACACCCCACTTCCTGCAGCCCTGACACAGCCCTGACACAGCCCGCACAGACCCCGCTTCCTGCAGCCCTGACACAGCCCTGACACAGCCCGCACACACCCCGCTTTCTGCAGCCCTGACACAGCCCCCACACACCCCGCTTCCTGCAGCCCTGACACAGCCCCCACACACCCCGCTTCCTGCAGCCCTGACACAGCCCGCACAGACCCCGCTTCCTGTAGGCCCTGACACAGCCCGCACACGCCCGCTTCCTGCAGCCCTGACACAGCCCGCACACAGACCCGCTTCCTGCAGCCCTGACACAGCCCGCACAGACCCCGCTTCCTGCAGGCCTGACACAGCCCGCACAGACCCCGCTTCCTGCAGGCCTGACACAGCCCGCACACACTCCACTTCCTGCAGCCCTGACACAGCCCCTGACACAGCCCGCACAGACCCCGCTTCCTGCAGGCCTGACACAGCCCCCACACACCCCGCTTCCTGCAGCCCTGACGCAGCCCCCACACACCCCGCTTCCTGCAGGCCTGACACAGCCCCCACACACCCCGCTTCCTGCAGCCCTGACACAGCCCGCACACACCCCGCTTCCTGCAGCCCTGACACAGCCCGCACAGACCCCGCTTCCTGCAGCACTGACACAGCCCGCACACACCCCGCTTCCTGCAGCCCTGACACAGCCCGCACACGCCCCACTTCCTGCAGCACTGACACAGCCCGCACACAGACTCAGGCCCATGCACAGGCCCAGGCCCACACACAGGTCCAGACCCACACACAGTCACAGGCCCACGCACAGGTCCAGACCCACACACAGACACAGGCCCACCCATGCACAGGCCCAGGCCCAGACACAGGTCCAGGCACAGGCCCAGACCCACACACAGACACAGGCCCACTCACAGGCCCAGACACAGACACAGGTCCAGGCACAGGCCCAGGCCCGGACACAGGTCCAGGCCCACACACACACAGGCCCACGCACAGGCCCAGACACAGACACAGGCCCAGACACAGGCCCAGACACAGGCCCAGGCCCACGCACAGGCCCAGGCCCATGCACAGACATGGGCCCACGCACAGGGCCAGGCCCATGCACAGGTCCAGACCCACACACAGGCCCAGGCCCACACATAGACACAGGCCCAGACACAGACACAGGCCCATGCACAAGCCCAGGCCCAGGCCCACACACAGGCCTAGGCCCACGCATAGATACGGGCCCACACACAAGCCCAGGCCCATGCACAGGTCCAGGCCCAGACACAGGCCTAGGCCCAGGCCCATGCACAGGTCCAGACCTGGACCCAGGTACAAGATCAGGCCCAAGCCCACACACAGGTACAGGTCCAAGCCCAAACACAGGTACAAGCCCAGGCCCACGCAGAGGTCCAGGCCCATGCACACCTCCAGGCCCAGACCCACACAAAGGCCCATGCACACGTCCAGGCCCAGACCCACACAAAGGCCCAGGCCCATGCACAGGCCCACGCACAGGTCCACTCCCATGCACAGGTCCAAGCCCAGACACAGGTACAAGCCCAGACATAGGCCCACGCACAGGTCCAGGCCCAGACCCAGGCCAGGGCCACGGCAAGCTCTTCTTCCCAGCCTTGTGACACGCACTTCAGGGAACACAGCTTCATTTTCTCCAGTGCAGCTGCTTTCTGCCTGGTGTCTGGTGGCTTTCAGACCAAGGAGAATAGAGTACCTCATACAAGAAGAGATGAGTGAGTACGAGAGGTTCGTCCATCCAGCGCACCATTACAAAGGTCTGGCCTGTGATTGGAACTATGGACTGTACAGTGTGGTGGATGGATTCAGAGGTTTAGAGGATGGAACTTGCTTCATGTTAACTGATTCTTTTTATAAGCCCAGACATAATTCCTAAAGATGATCTAGACATCAGGTAAAGTCATTGCTTACATTCTAGGATGTGAACAATTCTAGGATCACTGTAAACAATTCTAGGATCATGCATATTGTTCAGGTCTTCAAAGGTCTTAGAAGGCATGAGGATATATACATACATATGTAATATGAATAAATATTATATACGGATAGTGTATATATATGTACCTCCCCCCATAGGGTCTCTCATACTTTTACCCAGGGAAGAACTTGGATGACCACATTCCTCCTTTCTCAGACTCAGGTATAGCTGGGATTACAATCGTGTGTCAGCATACCTGGTTTATTTCTTGAGATAATGCCTCAGTAATTTCTTTCCTTTTTTTTTTTTTTTTTGCCATTGGATTGGGTTGGAACTGCAATCCCCCCATCATTGCAGCTGGGATTACAGGTATGAAATAAATACCGGCTCCCCACCTTTGTTCCAATGTTTGCCCCCTGAGGCGCCCGTCTGGTCGGTTGCTCCACGGGAGTGGACATTAACAGAGCAGAAGGCTGTCCCCGGTGCCCCTGTGATGGGCCTATCCTGAACGATTTTAAACCCAATTTGTGGTCACTTGCTCTGTGTGCTGGAATGAATACCTTTTCCAGGGCTGCTGTTGCGATTTTGATGGTGGTGGGCCTGGTCCCAGAGCACCAGGTATAAATCAACGCGAAATTACAGCTCACGTTCTTAACTCACAGCAGGCAATTAGCAAAAGGGGATGAGGGTAAGGTCTAACACTATGGAATTTCAACACAAAACAGAAACAAAATGGAAAGGAACCGACCTCTCTTCCGCCAAAAGTTGATGGAGGCTAACTGAAAATCGACAGACAACAGTCAGGATAAAGGTAACGTGGGCCACCCCTGGCCCGTTCCGCCTCCGGTGGCTGCCTTGGGCTTTTCCAGGATGATGGCGCTCCTGGGTGTGTTTACGTGACCTCGGCCTGGGCTGCTCGGTCCCTCACTTACCTGCAGTTGCAGTGGGCCTAGGCCGGGGGTTGCGGCAGCCGCGGCAGCCATGGTGGTGGGAATCAGCTGAACTGGGTAGGCGTCACCTGGGTAAGAGAATAAGAGAGGCGTCAGCACCTTTGATCTCAGCGCCACCCGCAAATTCAACTCACGCATCCACTCGGGCCAGAAGCCTGCTTTTGTGACTCTGGCTGAGGCTGCTGAAAAGCTCCATTGTGAAGCCGGGTCCCCAACACTCGCCACGATTCTGGTTGAGAGACTGACTTGAATAAAAGGCTCAGGCAATTAAGCCATGCAACCTCACCCTCTTATTTTTTTTTCTGATGGGGAGGAGGGAAGTTCTCATTGATCAGAGGGCTGTAGCTTAACACACACACACACACACACACACACACACACACACACACACACACACGGCAGTGTCCATCTTAGCCCAGCAAACCCTCGGCAAAAGTATTGAGTAATTATGAAAGGAGCTTGACCAAACTTACTTTTAACCAAAACCAAAACTCCAAAGGTTTAAGCCAAGCCATTAAGAAAGCCATTTGATTGCCTTGATTCACATAACCTTTATGCTATTTTGTCAACAAGTTTATAGTGAGGAAAATAGTGTGGGTGTGTGCCAAGCATCTGTTGCTTGTGCCCGGAGTTCTAGTTGCTCGGGAGGCTGGAAGCTGAGGATCGCAGTTAAAAGCTGGGCCAGGCAGGGAAGTCCCTGGGACTCTTATCTCCAAGAAATCAGCAAAAAGGTGGGAGTAGAGATGTGGCTCGAATGGTAGAGAGCCAGTCTTGAGTGCAAAAGCTTAGAAGACAGCATACAGGCCCCAAGTTCAAATCCAGTACCAGGAATATCACTATCTATCTATCTATCTATCAATCTATATCTAGATATCAGTGCATATATATGTCTATATCAGTGTCTACATAATGTGTCTTACTTCAATGACAAATTATAAATGTCTATAATTAAACATAAGGACAATACATAATGACTTCTTCCCAAAGAATTCTGTCTTTTAAAATATCAGAGCTTTGCCGGGCGCTGGTGGCTCAAGCCTATCATCCTAGCTACTCAGGAGTCTGAGGTCTGAGGATCGTGGTTCAAAGCCAGCCCAGGCAGGAGAGACCATGAAACTCCTATCTCCAATAAACCACCAGAAAACCAGAAGTGGCGCTGTAGCTCAAGTGGTAGAGCGCTCGCCTTGACCTGAAGAGCTGAGGGACAGCGCCCAGGCCCAGAGTTCAAGCCCCATGACCGACAAAAAAAAAATCAGAGCATTTCAAAATCACTCTTGAAGTGTTACTAGTCTATAACCTATAAAAATATTAGTTTGTATCAGTTTATTAATTTATAATCTATAAAAATACAGACCCTTGGGCTGGGAAGGTGGCTCAGTGGTGGAGCACTTGCCTTGCATGCCTGAGGGCCTGGGTTCAATTCCTCAGCATCATATAAACAAAAAGAAAAAAAGCCGAAGTGGCCCTGTGGCTCAAGTGGTAGAGCGCTAGCCTTGAGCTGAAGAGATGAGGGACAGTGCCCAGGCCCAGAGTTCAGGCCCCACGACTGGACCCAAAAAAAAAAAAAAATACAGACCCACAGAAAGATGGACACACAGCTTTTTGTCCTGCAGATTTCAAGGTAAGTAAAGAGTTTTTCTTTCGTTTTGTAAGCGGGTACTATGAACTATGTTAAACAATCTAAACATTATCTTTCGGGTTAGAGCAAACAGCAATGTAGATTCAGTGAGATCGCTGAGGTTGGAGGCTGCCAAGCGTGAGCAGCTGGTAAACAGGTGCGGAAATCTATCACCGGCTCCGGGCGTGGACTGGGCTGGTGACAACAGGAGGAAGATTCACGTGCTATTTAAGAGGAAAGATGGCAGAACGTGACAGAGATCACTCGGGGGTGACTTCACTGTAGTTTTACACGGATACCTCAGAAATGGATCAAGGGGCGTCACAGTTACAGCCAGAGAGGGCTGAAAGGAAGTAAAGAAAGAGTTTTGGACAGAGCAGCTGTGGGTCTTGGTAACAAGGAGGTGGGTGGTTCAGTGCATGGACACTGGGAACATGAGCCAGGTAGACAGGACGGGATCAGAGGGAGGAGCGGAGACCTCGCTTTCCAGAGTGAGAGTCGTGAAAAGCAGCCTTCATTCTCCCAAGGAACTCCTCAGGAGTGTAGAGTCTGAGACGCTACCCTAAATCTACAGCACCCGCCACGCCGCATTGATAGCAGATGCGAAGGCTCTTTGGCAGCTCCTGCCTGCTGGAAGTCAGGCCGGGGCTCGTAACGCCTCTCGTGTGCACAAGACACACTTGCATCAGAGTTTACTTTTGAGATCAGGCTGTGCACTGTCTGGTGCTTGCTTTCCTCCCCCTCAGTGGGACAAGCAACTTGGGGGTTTTACACTAGATAGGCCCCCATCAAACACCAAAATCAAACACCGTCTTGGTGGCTGATCCTCGGCAAAGGCACAAGGCGTGCCATCAGCTGAAAGAGTGAGTTTAGTGAGGAGTGCATTCTGCCCAAGCCACGCTAGAGACGGCCGTAGGCAGGCCGAACCAACATCGAGCATGGCTGCTCGCTAACCCCGATCTGTTGTCTGATACCACCAAGCTTCGGGACGGTCTGTGGAATCAGGAGGCAGCTAACGTCTGAGAGGTTCTCGGGTGATCTGCACGCACATTCGTGTAAGAACGGCTAGAATGGGGAAACTCCAAAAGTGGTACCTAGTTGAAAGATGGATGAGGGAGAAAGCTTCACGGAAAAGGTCAAAAGGAGGAGGGACAGATGAATGGAGAGAGGAAGGGAAGTCAAATGCAGTCATCATATTCAGTGAGCGCAGGGGAAGATGAGAGGGAGGGCCGGGCTAGGAGAGATGGGGGAGAAGGAAGGAGGGGGTGACGTGGATCCAGATGCAGTGGAGCAGGGCGCTGGTGGCTCATGCCTGTCTCCTAGATATTCTGGAGACTGGAGATCCGAGGATCATGGTGTGAAGCCAGCCCGGGAAGTGAAGTCCCCACTGTGAGACTCATCTCCGACACACCACTCAAAAACTGGAAGTGGTGCTATGGCTCAAGTGGTAGAGCACGGCCCTTGAGCACCAAGAGGCTCAGGGACAGTGTCTAGGCCCTGAGTTCAAGCTCCACAACTGACCAAAAAAAAAGCATTGTAGTCACAAAATGATAGGTTGAATTAAAACTCCACTGAACAACTACTTAAAGGCAGTCTTTTTTTTTTTTTAAAGAAAAGGTAAATAATGTGGAAAAATTAGAATATGCTTGCATGCTAATGAAGAAGATTCAATTTTCACAGGGGAAAAAAAAAAAACTAGGACACAAGATAGAAGATAACTCACGTTACGTGATAAGGGTTTTGCTTAAAATTTGGTAATTTAGTTATTTAATCTATAAAACTGATTCATTGAAAGGGAAGTTTAAAAGCTTGGATTTGTAGTTTTACAATCTGGCTAACGTAGCAAATACTATTACATTATGATGGTTGGAAGTGATAATTTAGGTGCTTAAATGGTGTAATTCATTTGTATTCCCCATTTAATGATCGCAATCTTAAAATTAACTACAGCACAAGTGCAGTGGCGGTGATACTCTTCGGAGTGATAATTTATTTTATATAATTTGCTTCCCCGGTTGTAAATTAATCAATTAATGAGTACTTACACCATCTACCACGTGACTAGAGCTCTGCTGGATGCTACAGGAGACAGAAAACAGGGACAGACTTGCGCTTTCTCTCCTGAATGTCTCTCCATCCCAAACCAGAGCGCATGTGGGTCTCACTGAATATTAGAATGCTACAGGAGTGATTTCCTGGATTTATTACTTAGGGAATACTTCAAGAAGGCCTTCAAGACTCACAAGTGGAAGGGAGGAAACTGGTTGTCTGTCTGTCTGCTGCCTGCCTGTTTATGTATCTATGTATCTCTGCATCTATGTATGCATGTGTGTATGTATCTTTGTATGCGTGTATCTACCATCTTTATCATCTATTTATCTTTCTGCCTATCGATGCATCCAGCAAGCTATCCTATTATCCTACCTAAATATCCATCTACTCTTTCTCTTTCTTTCTCTCCTCTCTCTCTGCCTGTAGTGAAGCTTGAACTCAGAGCCTCATGCATTCCCTCTCTTGACTTTTTTTTTGGTTCAAGACTGTCACTCTGCCATTTGAGCCAAACCTCCACTTCTGGTTGTTGTTGTTGTTTTAATCTATTAATTGTTGTCTCAGGGGTTTTTATTCCCCCTGAGGACTGAACCTCAGTCCTCAGACCTCAGCCTCCTGAGTAGTACAGGTGTGAGCAAACAACACCCCATGAGAATGGTTTTAGTTGATACAAATGCGTCGAAAAAACAAAAATGACATAGTGGTGGAAAAAGAAAAAAATAAATGGCTGAGAAGTGATGTACTAAGCCAGAGGCAAAAGTTGAGAAACTGTCCACAGTCCGGTCTCACGGATATTTGAACTCACAAACGCAAAGGCATTAAGGGAAGTCTTAATAAGCCGCACTGGAGGGATGAAGTAATGGGACATCTTCAGTGCTGTGAGCAAGTCTTCTGCAGGGACGCAGACTCGCTCCTGAGTTAGAAGTGAAACATGCCCAAAGGTGTGTTGAGAATATTTTGCAGAACTAGAATCTATGAATGAATGAATGTATATTTAACACGCCAGCTAAGATCTAGACTGTGCATACTGTTTTTAAAATGCACACGTTGGAAACTTCTGTCTTCTTGTCTCTTAGGTTCATGAGTGTATGTCAGTGACACGATCCATAACCTTTTCTGTGGCTGTGCATGTGTGTGAGAATAACTACTGCTTAATCCTCAGCCCACACGTTCCACGTGCTTGTGGACCCACGCTTGTGACATGAATGTCTGAATACACACGTGAGACATTTATAAGAGGTGACTATTTCAGAGGTGTGTGTGTACGGATTGGGAGACGTCTGCTGTGGTGGATGTTGGAGGTCTGTTCTGTGCTATGTCAGAATGGGATTAGGATTGGGGAAAGTCTAGTAAACAGGCAAACAAGGTAAAATGTGGTGGCAGACTGGTATTCTTATCAGA